CGCAGGACACTTCAATGCAGGGGGTCAGAGGCAGCAAGGACAACCTGCATGAGGCACTGGAGCTGCAGCAGGACAGACGGATGCACTGACACTGACAGATGAACGGGACTCCGGAGGTAGGGTTACTGAGGTGAGAATCCTGACAGCAGAGATGCCTCCACAGAGCCAGGGTTCTAGGACCACCTCGGGGTGACCAGAGGGCAGAGCTGTGGGTTGTCTCTAACCCACAGGGTCCTAGATGGGAAGTCTGAGTCTATTCACAGACTCAATGCGCTGTCCCAGGGCCAGGGGCCCGACACCCAAAAACCACAAGCCAAGTAGGCAGGCACATCTGAGCCCAGTCATCATGGACTACACCTACAGACAAGGCAAGGAGCCCCGAGCCCAAACCAGCACATCTCTATGCTGACTGTCTGGCAAGGGAACCATAGGAGATGAAGCCCAGAGAGTGTGAGCACCTTGTCCCAAACCACACAGCAAGCAATGTTCACCTTCGAACCCAGATCCACTGCTCCTGAAGACAATGTCTTCAACACACCATCTATGAGGTCAGCAGGCTCTGTTCTCTACTGCAGCCAGACTGTTTCCCACAACCTGCCCCTGAAGATGGACAGACAGACGGATGAATGAATGAATGAATGAATGATGGATGGATGGATGGATAGATGATAGGTGGAAGGAGGGTAGATGAATGTAAAATAGAAAGATAGGTGTATTTATGGATGGAGCATAGATGGAGGGTGGAGGGGTGGAGGGTGGAGGGGTGGATGAAGGATAGACGAGCGGATGGGCGACAGACCAGGTTCATCTGATTAGAGTTATCAGTGCTGGGTTTTAAAGCGAAGCCTTGCTTTCTACAAAAGCTATCTCCTCGAGAAACAGAAAAAAACAAACTTCCATAGAAAACAACTGTAAATTTACCCCACATTCACCAGGCCTCCAGACATATGAAGCCCCAGAAGACAGAGCTGGGCTCCCAGCCCTCATCAGAAAGAATCCATGTGGCCCTCTGGCTGAACTGTCTATCCCTCACCCTGAAACACTTCCCCTTTGGACCATCCCCAGACCCTCTCTCCAGGAAGGTTTCCTTGGTTACCCAGGCCCTTTCCTTCTCCGATGCTCATCCTGTGTTCACTCACTCAATACTCCATCTTATGCACACTTGTTACCCAGTGCCCCGGGTATCAGAGCAAGGAGCTCTGCACCTTTGGATGCCACAGTCAACAAAGCAGCTTGAATCACTTCCTCTGGGGTTCATGGTCCCAAGTGCCAGACAACATGAAACAAGGAAACCAACTTGGTGTTAGGAAGCCAAAACAAGCAGATAGGATACAAAGTAGCAAAACTGGTATCTGTTTTAAGTGATACTGTCAGAGAACGCCTCTTGGAAACTGACATTTGAGCAGTTCCATGTACCATAACTATGGACGTACAAAAGGTCCAGGAGGTCCTTGTCTTTATCCCTAAAACTCACAGTCCAGAGCACTGGCCTTATTGTGACTCTGTAGAACCCAATCTAGATTATTTGGGATTAAATCAACATCCCTAATGACTGAAGTCATCCCATCTTTTCAAATGCAAACCTGGCCAGGTCCCTCAGTAAACAGCTCAAGAACCTTCAATGGCTCCACACCTCCCTCCATCAGTCGGCCATCATCCCTGCCTTTCCGCCTGTTCTCTCTCCTCTGTGTCACCTCACACTGGTGCCCTCCAGGCACCCTCCCCTAGGTCACACCCCAGGAAATGCCAGATCATCCGGCCCCGGGCCTTCCCATATGCTGTTGGCTTGCCAGGCAATGTGTTCCTCATCCTCATCCTCCCAAAGTCAACTGCCTCAACTCTGCAGAGATCAATCTGTAAAAAACGCCAGGTGGCTAAGAAAGTTCATTGCCGGGAGAGCGGGGAGTGAGAAAATGAAACACAGCATCGAGCCATAAAAGACGAAATAACCCTTTTCCAGCCCAAACTGCACCCCCAGGTGGCCCTCGACTTCCTCCTGGCAGTGCTCGGGGATACACTTCACACATTCGCTCTTGCCAACTATTTTCTCTGTCAGCCTGTCCCCTGCCTCCCTGCCTGCCCCAGGGTCCAGCACCACCCAGCCAAAAAGGAAGCACCATAAATATTTGGAGAGCAAACGAAGGGCTGTGAGGGGGAGACCTCAACCTTTACATTCCATCTAGCAGTGAGCCAGCCACTGTCCTCTGTCAGATGTGTCCCGGGGCTTCTCTGCCTTGTGACGCCCTGGCTCCAGATGTTCAACACTTTGCTTTTCCTGGAGGGGGTCTTGTGGTTTGGGCGATTCACTATGCTCACCATTCTTGCAGGGTGGGGTGGGGGGACTGCTCCCCAGCACACACACATGCGTGCACGCATGCACGTGCACCCCATCTCCTCTCGAGCATTCCACAGGCTGGAGCTGGGAATTCTTAGGCTGAAAAGCTCAAGCCGGCCCTGGAATGGGCTGGGAGACAGAGCGGCTGGAGGAGAAAGGAAGGCAGGCAGTGGGAGCCTCATGGCTCTCCATGCCAGAGACAAGAGCTGTCCTCCCTGGCCTCTGGACTCCACGCTGCCCCACAGACGGGGCTGCATCCATAGGAGTCCAAGAGTTCCCTGGATGTGCAGGACCATTCATGTCACCTTAACAGCACAAAGACCATACCCAATTCTTACAGTTGGACTGTTTCTCCATCCACTATTCAGTGTGGTACTTATAATCACACAGGTGAGATGACCACTGTGCCCACCCTTGAGTGACAGATGAAGTAAAGGCGACTTAAAGATTATGGGATGGTGGGTATACATAATGGAATCCCGAGAGAATAGCCAAAGACCCTATCTAGGGAAACTGAGGCCCCTACAAAGAAGAGAGCCGACCCAGGGTCCCGAGTGAATTAGAAGCAGACCCCTGCAACCCACCTCACACCATTTCTCAGTCCAATACGAGCCGATCATGATGGATGACATTCTCTAGTGTCCTCCTACTCCTGCCCCCAAACGGGCAGCCATCCCATCTTGTGACATCAGCCACCAACCAGCCCTGTGTCCAGGGCCAGGGCCCAGTCAGGCCACGGCCCCCCAGATTCTAACCACCCACTTGCCAGAGCTGGACAGACGTGGCCCTTCCATCTACCCCACGGTAATTAAAAACACACCCAGGCCTTCTTAAACGCGCAAGAGAGGCCAATTTTTCTCCCCTCCAGCCCCACTGACTGCAACCTAAATAGCAATATTTATGCCAAGCTCCCCATAATACTGTAAACATCCCAACGTATAGCGGGCCAGCACATGACTCATTTCCCCAAAGCCAGTGTAATAAGTGGTACACCAACCAAATCCCAGGGTGCTCCCCGCCAGCAGCCGGGCTCCAGGGCTGTCCTCCACACCCAGGGCCCGTGGCACCCTCAGTGCCCTGGCCACCCCACTCTGGGAAACCACAGGCAGCCGCCAAATCCTGCAGGAGCCGGAGGACAGCTGCCTTGGTGCCAAACACGATGGCTGCCATCCAATGACCCCCCTTTCTCCCCCCCCCCGCACCTCCCCCCATACTGCGGTCACTAAAATGCTCATTACTGAGAAACTAAGTTCTAGCACAGGGTCCCCCACCATGTCTGCAGTGGCTGTGCCTGGACTCCTGAAGGCTTCTTCACACTTCACCCCAAAGTGGCCCAAGAATAAGACACTCTATGCCGCACCTCTCAAGCCCCCGGTGGCACACTCCTAGAAGGAGTCACCTCTTTAGGGGCAAGAAAGCACAGTCAATTGTTTCAAAGACCTCAGACTCAGGGCCTATTTTTAACACCCAATGGCTATGGGTAAGACGGGATTTTTCTGAACCCGCGGGTTTCCCTATCTGTTAAAACCAGTAAAAAAAAAAATTCGACCCATCTGGCTTCCCGGAAGACTTCTCTTGAAGGATTCAACACGACTGTCGGCCGGCAAGCACTTTGCAAAGAAGGCTTCAAGTACCTTGTCAACCGTGCAGCACGCAGTAAACCACTGAGAGCAAAGTACTTCATAAACTGTGAAGCGATTGGAAAACTGTTGAGAACCATTATTAGGATTCACGCCTGGTCCTACCAGTCCACCCATTCCTGGCGGACACACCCAGACCCCCGCTAGCAACTTTCCCTCCACAGCCAGCGAGCTGCGACCACCTGGCAGCCACTCCCGCCCCCGGGGGGTCGGGTGGTACCACAGCGCGAGGCCTCGGGGAGAGGCCCTGAGACCCAGGCCAAGGCCAACAACACATGGCAAAGCATCTGGTCGGGGCTCTGACGGCAGCTGGAGAGTTCTCGGGGCTCCAGACTCCACGCTGAGCTCTGTCGCCCTCGGGGCGGTGGCCCGCGGAGGTACCTGGAGGACCCCGCGCGCAAGAGAGATGCCCATTGCCCCATCCCCCGCTCAGTCCTTCTGGGGAGGGGACCCCATTGTACGCCGCGGGCGACCGTGCGGGCACGAACGAAGGAGTGGGGGACACGAGCGCTTCTCTCCACTCCGCGGGTCCTCCGACTCTTCGGGTCGCCCAGACTGCATCCAAGGGGGCGCGGCCCGGGATCCCCAATCCTTGGCGCGGCCGCGGTGCCTCCCTTGGAACGCTCCCTGCCAAACTTTGCAGCGCCCACTGCGCGCCGGGCCCGCGCCCCTGAGCCTGGTGCCGAGCCAGGCAGAGCCAGCGCCGGGCTCTGTGGGGATGCAGGTACCCGGGTGGCGGGCGCGCAGTGGGCAGAGCCCCCGGCCTTGGGCGGCGCTCGCCGGGCTGGCTACAAAGCCTCGGCAAGATGGTCCCTTCGCCTCCTCCTGGCACAGTCAATCAGCGCACGCCGCTCGTCCGGGCGCCCGCGGGGCCCCGCGTCCTCCCCAGCGGTGGCCGCTGGCCACACCTCCCTGCGGCCACCTGCGCCCGGCACCGGCCCCTGGGCAAACTTTGCGACCGCGGGGCCGAGTGAGGGGGCGACCCGGGGCCGAGGCGGCCGCTCCCCGCCCCCATCCCCGCTCACCTTCCACGGCGGCTAGCAGCGGCAGCAGCAGCAGCGCAGCCCCCAGCCTGCGCACGGCCATTGCTGCGCTGCCGGGAGCCTCGGGCCGCGGCGCCGCGGGGATCCCGGGGCTGGAGCGCGCGCCCCGGGCTCGGGGGGCCGGCGGGGAGCGGCGGGGAGCGGCGCACACACACACGAGCCGCCGCCGCCGCGCAGCCAGCAGAATGAGCCATCCAGCCCGGGCAGAACGGGGACCCGGGCTCCGCCAGCGCTGGGCACGGCCCACCTGAGCCGCAGGCGCGGGGGGAGCCGGGATTAGATTGCCAACCTTGCGCCTGTACTCCACGTGCCCACGGGTTGCACCACGCCCGAGACACGACTCTGTTAGTCTTTCATATTCCTTCGGAGGGTGCAGCAGCGCGCTGAAACACCGTGACCCCACGCACCCTGGCGTCTGGGACCTCAGATTCCCCCCCGCGCAGCAGTGGTCTCGTCCGAAGCTGTGGCTCCTCCAGATAAAGCAGCGATTTCAGCCCAAATGTTTCTCAATTTTTATTGAATGCTGCAAAGCCGAGATCGTCTGGCGGGGCTGACAGGAGCAGAGAGAGGGGACCCGGGGCGGGGGAGGTGGGGAGCGAGGAAGGGGCTACCCAAAGCCCGGGACTAGCTCTACCTGTCAGGGCCGGGAGTGCCACCCCCTTGCCTGAGCCTTGCCACCCGCGTCCCTGCGGCTTCGAAAGGGACTGAACTGCAATGAATGAGGGGGGAAAAGAGGTGGGGGGGGAGAAGCTGGGAACAAAACAGGCGGCTTTCCCAGGCTCTGGGGCTGGGCTGGGGCCTCCGCCTGGGAGAGTGGGCCTTGGCGCTCGCCCGCGGGCCCTGGGTTCTCTCTGGCAGGGGTGGCGGGTCCTGGCAGGCAGACCCCAGGCCTTCCCTCCTTGCCTTGTTGTCTTGCGCGAGCCCACCGGCCCCTCCCCGCGGACCTTTCCAGCCGCACATTGTATTTCTCCTCTGTTGATCTGGTTCCCGGTGCAGTTTGCGCGCAGGGGTGTGGAGGAGGCCCAGGGGGATGCCTAGCGACAGCCCCTACTCCACCCCTCAGTGGAATGGACCTGTCTGGGCTGCTCGGGTTTTGTGCATAGCTGTCCCTTCAGGGAGGACACAACCCCTTGTTCCATTTCTGTGGGCCCAGCCTGCTCTGACAGCCTTCATCACCGTCATCATTAGCGGGCTTGCTGAGGCCGGTGGTGGGCGGACTGTAGGGACCCTGCGGGAACCACCCAGGCAGGGCCTCTGGCCTTTGGGATCTGCTCTCCTGAAAACACGCTTAGCCACAGCACTGGCCATGCTCTTTGCATTGGGTAGAAGAGTCCCCTAGAGGGACAGTCTGTTAAAATCCAGTGCAGACCTCTCTAGTCCCTTTGTCCCACAAACTAGCAAAATGTCCCAGAGATGTCTTCCCTTCAAGGCCCATCAGGCAAACAGTCCCGAGACACCAGCCAAGGTTTGGAGATGTGGGTCACCTTTTGAAGCTCTGAGAGTCCATTGGAAATGAACGTCAACCTGGGAGGCCACCAGGCAGAGGTGGGCCCTGAAGGCTGCAAAGGAAGCAGAAGAGAAGTGAGCCAAGGAGGACAGAAGAGAATGGAAGATACTCCCCTCTGCCAACACCCTCCACCCCGCGTTGCCTGCAGACTCCTGCCTGGAGTAGAGATGAATTGGGTGCCCCTGGCTATTATTCTGCTTTTGCTTGTCAGACGTTCCAAGGGACTTAGGACTTGGTGGACTCTGGACCTACTCCTCTCCATCCCAGGTGGCCCCTCCCCATTTCCAGAAATAATTACAGGACTCTTCTAACATGCTGGGTGGATTCAGCCCTGCTTGCTTTCTATCCCCTGGGGCCCTTGCCATCATCAATACACCCCTAACAATTGTGTCCTCCTTTGATGCAAACTTCAAATACCAGACACTAGCTTTCTTGGAGGACCCTGGTAGCAGGGATGAGGCTCAGGGTTGTTTAGGTGTACATATGTTTGACTCCTCCGTTGTCTCAACCCTGGTGGCAGGTGCTGACCATCTCAGATGATGGGACTGAGGACCCGGCAAGTCATCTGTTCAAGGTCATGTAGCACACTGGAGCTAGGATTCAAGGTCTGTCCATCTGACACCAGTGCCCATCCCCTGGGCCTCCCATAGGTCCATAGAACATGTTTATTCAATAAATGAGCTTCCCACAGCCACTGAAAACCTTATCATTAATAGGTAACAGTCTGGACCTTTACGTGGTTTAACACAAAAATCATAACAACAATAAAGTCCCTCAACTTTTCCATCTATTCTCCCTACACTTTTTTTTATTATTCCCCATTTGGGATCCTATAGAACGGCTGAGTTTTGTCACCCAGCCAGGTCCTTCCTCTCTGCTCTCTTAGCAGCTGCCTTAGCCTGCCTTTGTCCCAATCAAACTGTACCCAGCTCTCTCTTACTCCGCGACCAGGGTTCCACCTCGGAGACACCCTACTGAGAGCCTCCACTAAATTTGGCCTCCCCTTGAAACACCCATTTCTTTAGGATGTTTCCTGAAAGGTGATCGGTGGTTCTCCGGCTAGGGCCTCAGGATAGTTTGATTGTCTTCAATTTGCCTATCCCCTCTCTAACCCCAGCAGGTTAGATGCTCCCCATGGGGGGTGGGGTGCTAGGAAGCTGCCCCTCTCCAGGTGCAGAAGCTGGAGCACTTTGGATCCAGACCTGGGTCCCTCACTGCAAAGGGAGAGCAGGCTGGGAGCTTCGTTTGTCTAATGACAACAACTCCTCGCATTTGCAATCACGCTTTAACAGTTTACAAAGCAGTGTTCACACCCATCAGCTCATGATAATTCAACCCGCCGAGCCTCCCGCCCCCAGCACCAGCTTTTAGAAGGGGAAACCGGAAACCGGGATCCAGACAGGGAAAGGTACTTGCCCAGGTACTCTCCGCACAGTCCCCTGTGTGTTGCTGTAGCTGCAGGGGGACTTTGATGCCCTAGCTTGTCTGTGTCGCTATCTCATTTGATTGACAAGCATGAGTTGGGCATTGCCTGCATGCCAGGCACAAGCGAGGCAGGAATGCAGCTGAGGACCTGTTAGACAAGACCCTGCAGGGAGCCCCAAATAGGGACAAAACGATGGACAATGGTCCAGGCCAGGAAGACAATAAAGCGGAGTGACAGACCGCAGTGGGTGGGTGTGTGTGTGTGGGGGGGGGGTGTCATAGAAGGCTGTCCGAGGAGAAAATATGACAGCTGAAAGCCAGGTCAAACGAATGTGAGGATGGGACCTGTTGGGTGTCTCCTAGCCATCCTCCCACTACCTAACCTGCCCAGTTACTAGACTGATGGAGACCCTTGGCCATGTGTGGATCAGAACACACTCCAGCCACTGCCCAGCTGGAGGAGCTGAGGGTTGCTGTGTGACCACAGATAAGACTTCCACTTCTCTGAGCCTGAGCCCAAGTGTATCTAATTCCCCTCTCATGGCGCTCACAGGTTAACACTGCCCAGAAGAAATCTGATACCAGCTCAAATGTAATTTTAAATTTCTTGTGGCCACATTAAAAAAATTAAATGAAGGGGGCTGGAGAGATGGCTCAGAGGTTAAGAGCATTGCCTGCTCTTCCAAAGGTCCTGAGTTCAATTCCCAGCAACCACATGGTGGCTCACAACCATCTATAATTGGGTCTGGTGCCCTCTTCTGGCCTGCAGGCACACACACAGACAGAATATTGTGTACATAATAAATAAATAAATAAATATTAAAAAAAAAATTAAATGAAGAGCCAGGCAGTGGTGGTGCACGCCTTTAATCCCAGCACTAGAAAGGAAGAGGCAGGCACATTCTTGTGAGTTCGAGGCCAGCCTGGTCTACAGAGTGAGTTTCAGGGCTGTTACACATAGAAACCCTGTTTCAAAAACCTCCCCTCAAAAAGAAAAGAAAAATTAAATGGAGGACTGGGGTGCATGCATCTTAGAGGAATGCTTTGTGTGTTTAGCATGTGTGATATCCCTGTTCTTTTTTTAAAAAAAATAAGGAATTATTGACTTTTTAATTTAAATTTATTTTATGTGCATTGGCCTTTTGTCTGCATGTCTGTCTGCATGAGGGTGTCAGATTCCCTGGAACTGGAGTTACAGACAGTTGTGAGCTGCCATGTGGGTGCTAGGAATTGAACCTGGGTCCTCTGTAAGAGCAGCCAGTGCTCTTAAGTGCTAACCTGTGTCTCCAGCGCCAGCCCTGGGTTCTAACACCACCTCCAAAAAAAATAAAACAAAGCAGGCAAAGTTAACTTTAACTATTTAAACCACGTCAGCGTGTAATTAGCAAACCATTTCATGGGGTTTTTTTCTTCTTACATTCTTTTGTTCTGAGACAGTGTTGTCTTGACTTGTGGCAGTCCTCCTGCCTCAGCTTCCTCAGTATTGGGGTTACAAGGGGGAGTAATCTGGTATTTCACTTTTGCTACTTCTCGGTTTCCATCCGCCTGGTGTTGATTGCTGAGTAGCCCCGTGTGACCGGGGCGCAGATGTAGACATGGAGGACTATGCTGGATGCTTACCTAGCATGCGCAAGTCCTGGGTTCCATTCCCAGAGTTTCATAAACCGGACATGGTGGTGCACTCGGGCTGGAGGACCAGAAAGCCAAAGGCATCCTCAGCCACACAGTGTGAGGCTAGCCTATGCTACATTAAACCCTCTCTGACAGCCTTAACTGTCCTGCAGGGTGAAAAGTGAGATTTGTCCAAACTCTCCCAGGACAGAGGACGGAATAGCAGCCTCTCCCTGGAGAAAGGATGGGGGTGGGGCTTCCCAGAGGAGGGGCTGGGAAAGATCATCTTGACAGCTAGGATCAGACCCATCCCCCCCTCTTTATTTTTGTCTGAGACAAGGTCTCCCTAACGTAGCCGTGGCTGGCCTGGAACTCGTTAGGTAGATCAGGCTGACCTCAAATTTATGATCCTTTTGTCTCTCAAATGCTAGCATTACTGACATGTGCCCGCACGCCTGGCTGGCTGCGCTCCCTATTTTGAGAAAAGTTTTTTTCTACCTTCTGAGAAAATCACAACACATTCTCAGTGTGATGAACAAAAATGACAGCGAACACTTCAGAAGAAATGAAATTAAGAAGCAAGAGTCGCCCGGTGCCCCACCCCAACCTGAGATCCGCTGCCCATGGTTTGCGACCGATTTCGTTCTCA